AATGATTCTATTTGGGTTATAGTAGACAGATTGACAAAGTCGACGCATTTCTTACCCGTGAGAATGACTTATACGGCAGACACATATGCGATGATTTTTATTCGAGAGATTGTCAGATTGCATGGAGTTCCGGAAACGATTATATCAAATCAGGGCTCAGTTTTCACGTCCCACTTCTGGAGGAGTTTTCAGGACTCTTTTGGCAGCTAGTTATCATTCAGTAGTGTTTTCCATTCCCAGACAGATGGTCAGACCGAGAGGGTGAATCAAGTGTTGGAGGATATGCTGAGAGTATGTGTTATAGATTTTCAGGGTAGCTGGGAGGAACACATCTTATTGATTGAATTTGCATATAATATTAGTTATCAAGCTACCATCGGGATGACACCGTACGACGCCTTATACGGGAGGCCTTGTAGATCGCATATATGTTGGACAGAGCCAGATGATAGTCTATTACTTGACCCGGAGCTAGTTAGGCAAACCACAGAAAAGGTGACATTGATTCGAGAGCACGTTCTTGCTGCACAGAGTAGGTAAAAGAGTTATGCGGACTAGCGGAGACAACCCTTAGAGTTTCAGGTCGGGGACTTAGTTATGTTAAAAGTATCACCGATGAAGGGCGTCCAGCGATTCGGTAGACGAAGGAAGCTTGCCCCGAGATATGTTAGTCCCTTCAGGATTATTGAGCGCATTGGAGCTGTTTCTTATAGATTAGATCTTCCGGCATTGATGTCGAGTATACACGATATATTTCATATTTCGATGCTTAAGAAGCATTTGCGTGACGAAGAGCAGCAGAGGGTGATTGATTCACTAGAGGTCGAGGTTCAGGATGATTTGACTACTGTAGAGATTCAGGTATGCATTCTTGCTAGAGAGAATAAAAAACTTAGAAACAAAGTTATTTCATTAGTGAAAGTCCAGTGGAACCGGCAAGGAACCGAAGAGATTTCTTAGGAGCGTGAGGAAGATGTTCGTCGCGACTACCCGCACCTGTTTGAACAGGTAAGGTTGATATTTGAATGTGCTTATATGCGTTGATAGATTTGATTATATGTGTTGTTTAGTTATATTTATATTTAACGCTAGAATGGGTCATTCAACACTTAGCTCTTAATTATTCGGAACATATGGTATATACATGGGGGTTCCTTGTTCGGATTTTTCGCCCGACGTACTAGTTCCGTCTAATTAGGGGTTAAGTGAGAATGTACGCATTTTAGATTGTTAAGTTTAAATGTTGCTTATATTTCAAATCGGGAGATTAATGATACGAGATGTGTACGTGAGGGTTTCCCTGTTTAGATTATCCCCTTTTTGTGCTTTTCTCGTATTATTAATCTCTGTGATGTGACTACGGAATTTCGAGGATAAAATTCTTTTAGGGGGGTGAATGTAAAACCCTAAAAATTTTATGTTAATATAATTAATGTGAGATTAATTATAATCTATGGATATTTATTTTGATAAATATAGTTAAATGGTGTATGAGTATGATACCATGTATTTTGAGTATGAACGAGTCCATACATGAGAAAGAAAAGAGTCGAAACATGCACAACGACCAAACCATGAAAAACTAGAAAATTCCAGTCCGGTCGACCACCGTCGGTCGACCGTCACGGTCGACCGCGAAACCTGTAGAGATCTGTTTCCTGTTTTGAGTTGGTTTCAATTTTCTAAAGCCCATATCCATTTCCTAGTGTGTGTGTGTGTGTGTGTGTGTGTGTGTGTGTATATATATATATATCAATACAAATAATATGCTATATGTGTAGGATTTGTTTCCAAAAGTTTTTACCTGCTGTAGACATGTTTGTGTACAAGTTTCATGTTTTTTTAATCATGTTTGAATCATCTAAACATGATATGAACACACACACAAAACCAGATTAAGAATCTGGAAAATCAACCCACAGTCGATCGCGCCCTAGCGGCGGTCGACCGCTTGTAGGACCGAGACCCGGGTAAGCTCAGGAATCAGTCGCGGTCGACCGCCGCATAATCGCGGTCGGCCGCCACCTGTAAGTGGCCCTGTGTATGTTTGTTTCGACTGGTTGAGTTTTCGAGTGAGTCTCTCGACCTTATACTGTTATGATACAATGTTTATGAGTTGTTTAACACCTGAGATGTCAGTAAACACCAGATATGGACATGCACACCGAGATACGTGCACGAATGGTTAGAATATATTGTGTTAATGTATTTTTGTCCTAATTTAAGTTGATGAACATGAAGAGCATATAATATTGCATTGTATTCCGGAATAGGGAGATAAAACCTATTTCCGCATGGCGATTGAGTATGAGTAATACAAAAGTATCATCATTTTATTGTATTCCGGAATAGGGAGATAAAACCTATTTTCGCAGGACGATTAAGTGAGAGTATCATAAAAGTATTATCATTTCATTGTATTCTGGGATAAGGAGATAAAACCTATTGCTGCAGAGCGATTGAGTAAGAATATTACAAAAGTATCGTTATTGTATATGGAGATGCACACATGTAAGTTTTATTTGTCGTATTTTGATTTCATGTTGGATTCCTGTGAGTAATGTATTTTCTTTAGGATCGTGCCTCACATGATATGGCTCATAGTTGATTTTTGTTTTGGATGAGATCGCTCTTATGTTAGAGTTGTCTTTTCGAGTATAAATTGAGGCATATATTTTTTTGAGGTTTGGAGTGTTTCCTTTTTGGTTTACTATTTTCATTCATAGGATTCGAAGTTGGTATTTAGGGAGCCACAATTTGAGACATGGTATATACATGAGGGTTTCCTTGTTTAGATTATTTCGCTCGACGTACTAACTCTCGTGTTGTGATTTCCTAAATATTAATTTCCAGTTAGAATTTTATGAATGATTTCATATATATATATATATGTATTAACTCTATTTTCTATATACTCCTACCCCTTCCCCTGGGGAGAGGTGGAGATGATCTCGCTATAGCGCTTTGATGCTCGTTGTTTTCCCCTCTTTCAGGCAGCGAGTCCGACGCACGGAGAATCGCAGGTTGATGAGATTTTTTTCATAGATTCCATCTTGTTATTATTGTTTAGTAGTTATTTCAGAACTCCACAGTTAGTTGTTTATGTTCAGACTTTAGACTTGTATTTTATTTTGTAGAGGCTGCGAGCTTCTACTGAAGTCATCAATGAATGTTATAAAATATCTATTACCTCCCAAAGAGACGGGATCGATTGGTCCACAGATGTCGGTGTGAATAAGTTGCAATTGTGCCTCTGCTCATGATTCTCCACTGGGAAAATAAAGTCGTGGTTGCTTGCCAATTACACAACCTTCACAAATATGATTCGATGGATCGATTGTTAGTAGACCTCGTACCATGCCAGCTGTAGACAGTAACTTCAGGTCATTGAAGTTTAGATGGTCGAAGCGAAGATGCCACCTCCATGACTCATTCTCCATGAGTCCTTGAAAACACTTCTCGATTTTCGTGTTTAGGTGCAAGGGAAACATGCGGTTCCTTATCATCTTAACACAAGCTATGAGGCCTCCATTTGCATTTTTCAACCAAAGATAGTTGTTCTCCATATATATTTTGTATCCCTTTCCGAGTAATTGACTGATGCTAAAAATATTACTTTTCATGTTAGGAATATAGTAAACATCGGAAATATACTCGGGCTTACCATCATTTTGGTAGATTTTAATCTTCCCTTTGCCTTCAACCGTGAGTTTTGAAGAATCTCCGAGGCTCACACTTCCATGAACTCATTCTGTGAGTTCCATGAAAAGTTCTTTCTTCCCGCACATGTGGTTGCTAGCACCTGATTCAAGGTACTAAGCATCATTCTCAACACTTGGATCATCATTAGCAAAAAGAAGCATAGAGATGTTACCCACATCATTTGTTGCTTCGGGAAAATTGGTTTGGTCTAGTTTTGTGCCAACAATCTAAAGCATAGTGCCCAAACTTGTGACAGTTATAACACCTGAACATACTTGTTGTTTCCACGCATAGGTGTGGATCTTCCATGATTGCTTCGTCCTTGTCCTCTAAAGCTTTGAGTCACTACTTGATTTTGAGTGGTTTGTTGTTGGGGACCATGTCCCCGATCACGACCATGACCACGACCTCTACCTTGTGAGCCTTGATTACTTAAGAGTCAATGTTGACTCTAGTACTTGTTCCAAAACTATGGAACTAGCATTCTTTTGCATTCGTTGTTCATGAACTTGGAGAGATCCCAAGAGCTCCTCTATTGAGATCTCCTCCAAATTCTTTGACTCCTCAATTGCGCCACCACATGCTCAAATTTTGATGTGAGGGATTAGAGCAAATTCTCCATCACTCGGATGTCCTTCATCTTCTCCCCATTTCTCCTCATTTTATTCACAATTAGAAGTAATTGTGAATAATTATCAAAGATTTTTTCTTCATCTTTCATTTGAGCAGCTTCAAGATCGCCCCTCAAACTTTGATGACGAATTCGCTTCACCCGCTCGACACCTTTGTAGATGGTAGCAAGGATTTCTCATGCTTCCTTGCTCGTTGTTGCTTCGGCAAGTCTCTCAAAAGTAGACTCGTCCAACCCTTGATAGAGTAGAAAACGAGCCTCACTATCCTTCTTTCTTTGCTCTCTGAGAGTCTTCTTCTCTTCGGCGGTGTAGGTGGCTTCTACTGCTGGTGTAGGTTTCGTGAACCCATCAATGATCAGCTCCCACAACTCCTGAGAATAAAATAAGCCTCTTATTTGGATTGACCAACTCTCATAGTTATCTTTCGATAATTTGGGTACTTGAGGATTGATAAGATTATTTTTTGTAGCCATGAGAAGTAGAGAGAATGGAAAATTGGATCAAGTGGCTCTGATACCACTGTTGAACCTTAAGTAAACGAACTTAGAAGTTTCCCAAATGAAGAAAAAAAACTTACTTTTTATTTCTTTAATTTTTTCTTGATGAAACAAGGATTACAATAGCCATTTATATAGGCTTCAAAAACAAAACGTACAGGCACACCAATAGTCACAAATTAAACTCCTCGTTAAATGTCATAAATATAAAATATCATAAAGGAGTGAGTAACTCCTATTCTTCCATAATCTATATCTCTTCACCTTCTAAACTTATAACCCTTGCACTTCTAAAACTCATGCTATTAACCTTATTTATTCTAGCATTTTAATTTGTTATTCCAACACTTTTGCCAAGGAATTCATTTGCCAATACTGCATTTTGTGCATACATCAACGGTGATGACCAGTATCCACACATCCACCATTTCTTCCACATTTCTTCACATCATCTGTCATATATGAAAATAAAGTGTGTTTTAGCTTTTTTTTAACCTGTGATAGACAACAGAAACCTATTTTGTTCATGTTTTCTGTAGCTTACCTCTTCCTATAACGAATCCACCGAGCACCATAATCATAAGAAGTGCAAAAGATCCAACAGTGTTTGCGATGATCATTTGTCGAGTCAATCCAGTAAATGAACCGAAAAAGACCAGATGCCATTTGATTGATAAGTAGGAAGACCAGAAACTGTCTAAAGAACCTGAAAAGTTGAGAAGTGATCGCAAGCTGAGTTGCCTTAAAAATGTAGACAAAGGAGTTCCTCTTCATTAGTAATAGTTCTCTCTCAAAAAAGAGCTTTAAACAGCTCTTTCGTGCTAACACTGTATCTCGAAGTTTTTAAGGCAGCAGGATGGCCTTTCTCTTATAATATGGGACCGAGAGCTCGTTTTTTTATGTCCTTGCCAATGTGGAATGATTCAAATGCGTTTGCTAACTCTATGACAGGTATAAACCGATAAGGTTCATCATTGCGTGCCCAATACTGTTCTTGATCTTTCCTTAAAGTCACCTATAAAAATAAAGGGGTTTCAAGTATCATTTAAATGAAGAAGGATTATCTTGTGGGTTATTTATGAACTTGGAGAGATCCCAAGAGCTCCTCTATTGAGATCTCCTCCAAATTCTTTGACTCCTCAATTGCGCCACCACATGCTCAAATTTTGATGTGAGGGATTAGAGCAAATTCTCCATCACTCGGATGTCCTTCATCTTCTCCCCATTTCTCCTCATTTTATTCACAATTAGAAGTAATTGTGAATAATTATCAAAGATTTTTTCTTCATCTTTCATTTGAGCAGCTTCAAGATCGCCCCTCAAACTTTGATGACGAATTCGCTTCACCCGCTCGACACCTTTGTAGATGGTAGCAAGGATTTCTCATGCTTCCTTGCTCGTTGTTGCTTCGGCAAGTCTCTCAAAAGTAGACTCGTCCAACCCTTGATAGAGTAGAAAACGAGCCTCACTATCCTTCTTTCTTTGCTCTCTGAGAGTCTTCTTCTCTTCGGCGGTGTAGGTGGCTTCTACTGCTGGTGTAGGTTTCGTGAACCCATCAATGATCAGCTCCCACAACTCCTGAGAATAAAATAAGCCTCTTATTTGGATTGACCAACTCTCATAGTTATCTTTCGATAATTTGGGTACTTGAGGATTGATAAGATTATTTTTTGTAGCCATGAGAAGTAGAGAGAATGGAAAATTGGATCAAGTGGCTCTGATACCACTGTTGAACCTTAAGTAAACGAACTTAGAAGTTTCCCAAATGAAGAAAAAAAACTTACTTTTTATTTCTTTAATTTTTTCTTGATGAAACAAGGATTACAATAGCCATTTATATAGGCTTCAAAAACAAAACGTACAGGCACACCAATAGTCACAAATTAAACTCCTCGTTAAATGTCATAAATATAAAATATCATAAAGGAGTGAGTAACTCCTATTCTTCCATAATCTATATCTCTTCACCTTCTAAACTTATAACCCTTGCACTTCTAAAACTCATGCTATTAACCTTATTTATTCTAGCATTTTAATTTGTTATTCCAACACTTTTGCCAAGGAATTCATTTGCCAATACTGCATTTTGTGCATACATCAACGGTGATGACCAGTATCCACACATCCACCATTTCTTCCACATTTCTTCACATCATCTGTCATATATGAAAATAAAGTGTGTTTTAGCTTTTTTTTAACCTGTGATAGACAACAGAAACCTATTTTGTTCATGTTTTCTGTAGCTTACCTCTTCCTATAACGAATCCACCGAGCACCATAATCATAAGAAGTGCAAAAGATCCAACAGTGTTTGCGATGATCATTTGTCGAGTCAATCCAGTAAATGAACCGAAAAAGACCAGATGCCATTTGATTGATAAGTAGGAAGACCAGAAACTGTCTAAAGAACCTGAAAAGTTGAACATAATATAATTATTACTTTCAAAAACAATCTAGGGTTAATTGCAAATAGACCTCCTGCACAATCGCCAAATTTAACTTACTACCCCTGTAGTTCTATTGTTGCAGATAGATCCCCTGAAAGTATTCATTTGTTGCAGATAGGCCCCTGAGTGAAAATTTCTTGTTGCAGATAGACCCCCTGAAAAGGGTCAAAATATATTCACTCAGGGGGTCTATCTGCAACGGTAGAACTATAGAGATACTAATTCAATCTGAAGATAATACAGGGGTTCTACACACAATTAACCCAAAAATCTAGATTGATGTTCTCAGCTTTTCTTACCTTTCGACGTTTGGATCAAATCCTATGACATAGTAAGTCATGAACACCCACATTTGTTTGCGATGATCATTTGTCGGAGTCAATCCAGTAAATGAACCGAAAAAGACCAGAATGCCATTTGATTGATAGTAGGAACCAGCAACCGTCTGAACAGACTGAAAGTTGGAACATAAATTACATCATTTAAATGAAGAAGGATTATCTTGTGGGTTATTTGCATATAGTTCCCCTGCAACATCGTTGTTTTAAACTTACTATTCCTGCAGTTTCATTGCTGCGAATAGCCCTTCGGAATTTATTTTTATTTATTTATTGTGACTAGTGAAATTTTAGCAGACATTGAACCTTCCTGAAAGTGATTTATCTGAGGGTAACAGAGTCAAAATTTTTTAACCTAGGGCATCTTTATCCACAACAATGAAACTAAAGGATAGTAAGTTTAAAACAAGGGTACTACAATGTGTTGGGAATTTACCCGCGGGGCTACGCAAAACCCCTAAAACAGCAGAACTACGGAATGGAGAAAAGAACACCAAGATTTACGAGGTTCGGCAACTGCCTACGTCCTCAGGAACCACACAGTTATTTTCTTAGTAACCAACAAGAAATTACAAGGCAATAGCAGATCTCAAACTTGAGATCTCTCAATAAATACTAATTAATACTGTAGCTATAATGTTAATCTCTCTCTCTCTCAAATACCCCTATTTAATTCTATCTTAAATAGAGAATATTCCCCCACAATAAATTCCCCCTTTCTTAAATCTCTCTCACAAAAACCGCTAGAGGAAAAAAAGATCGGGAGAGAAGAGAGACAGAGAGCCAGGTTCACGAGAAAAAGGGTGAACACGCCGTCGTCGATAATCGCGAGGAGAGAGAGGGAAAAAGCATCGATCTTTAGCCTTAGGGTTTCCCTTTTATAGGGAAACCTTAGCTGAGCTGTCGACAGGTTGGCGATAGCCTGGATCAGCTACGAGCTCGCCTGTCACAAGCGCCTCGACCCCGTCTGCTAGCTACGAGCCCGCCTGTGAGTCAATCTCGCCTGCAGCTACGAAGACCTCGCCTACATGAGAAATCGAAGCTCGCCTGCAAAAAGAGGGGAACTCGAGCTCGCTTGCAACTCTGGATCTCGAGCTCGCATGCATGGGATTCTCGAGCTCGCCTGACACGTCCACACTTCGACCTCGTCGCCACGAGCTCACCAAAGCTTCGACCTCACCCGAAGCTCATTGTCGTCGACTCATTCTCGCCTGCAGGTTTGGTCGACACCCAAACTAATAATCTCCCACTTGGAGATCAAACTGCCGTTAGTAGGCTACCTCTACAAGCATCATCTCCTGTGTGGTTCTGCCCTTATCACCTATGCATGAAGACCAACTGAAGTTGCGCACAACTCTAGTTTCTGAAAGGTCACCGTGTTTGTTAACATATCTGCTGGATTCTTACTTTCTGGAATCTTCTCCAGTTTCAACACGTCATCTTCCAGCAGAGATCTGAAGAAGTGGTACTGAAGACCAATATGCTTCATTCTAGAGCGAAATGCAGAATTCTTAGCCAAGTGAATCACACTCTGACAATTGCTGTGCAAGATATTACTTTCCTGTATGAATCCCAGCTCAGTTAACAAACCATGAAGTCATATCATCTATTTACTAGCTTCAGTCACTGCTACATACTCAACTTCTGTAGTGGATAGAGTGACAATCTTCTGTATCTGTGACATCCAACTAACAGTTGTAGTTCCGACAGTGAATACATAGCCGGTGGTGCTTCGGTGATCGACTTCACCTCCAAAGTCTGCATCTACTAGCTTCAGTCACTGCTACATACTCAACTTCTGTAGTGGATAGAGTGACAATCTTCTGTATCTGTGACATCCAACTAACAGCTGTAGTTCCGACAGTGAATACATAGCCGGTGGTGCTTCGGTGATCGACTTCACCTCCAAAGTCTGCATCTACGTACCCTTGCACTTCCACCTCTCCCTTCCCAAAGTGCAAATACTTATATGTGGTGCCTCATAGATATCCCAGAATCCACTTGATCGCTTCCCAATGAGTTTTTCTTGGATTCGACATAAACCGACTGACCACTCCTACTACATGACCAATGTCTGGTCTCGTACAGACCATTGCGTATATCAAACTTCTGATAGCTGAGGCGTAAGGGACCTAAGCTATACTATTTTTCTCTTCTTCTGACTGAGGAGACTGATCCTTCGATAGACGAAAATGACTGGCTAAGGGTGTGCTCACTGGCTTGGCATCACCCATGTTAAATCTTTACAAAACACGGTTGATGTACTCCGTCTGAGCTAACTGCAAGAAACCTCTCTTCTTATCTCTCGTGATTTGCATTCCAATGATCTTCTTCGCTAGACCCAAGTCCTTCATGTCAAACTATTTTGAAGTTGCTGCTTCAAACTCCTGATATCCTTTATATCTGCACCTACAACCAATATATCATCATGTAACAGTAGGATGATATAACTGGACCGATATCTTTTGAAGCAGCAACAGTGGTCGGTGTTACACTCCTGGAAACCTTCCTTATGCATAAAACCGTCAAACTTTCTGTACCACTGTCTTGAGGCTTGTTTCAAGCCATATAAGCTCTTCTTGAGTCTGCACACCAGGTTCTTCTTTTCTTATGAGAAACATTCTGACTGATGCATGTATATCTCCTCTTCTAGATCTCCGTGAAGAAACACCGTCTTCACGTCTAACTGCTCGAGATGAAGATCTTCAATAGATACACTACTCATCACTATCCTGATAGTATTTAGCTTCACCACGGGAGTAAAAATATCGGTGTAGTCATTTCCTTCCTTCTGTTAAAATCCTTTGACAACTAGCCTAGCTTTATATCTTTTGGAGTTGTCCAACTCCTCTTTCACCCAGTACACCCATTTGTTGTGGAGTGCATTCTTACCCGTGGGCAACTCAGCTAGTTTTCATGTATTGTTTGAGATGAAAGACTCCATCTCATCTTTTATGGCAAGCTCCCACTTGCTTGCATCTCTATCCTAACAAGATTCATCATAGCTTTCAGGCTCACGTCCATCTGTCAGCAACAGATAGTTCATGTATCTCTTGTTGGGCACAGGAGGACGAGAAGATCTTAATATCGGAGCTGGTGCGTCGGGCTCCTGCGCACCATCCTGTCAAATAGGCTCTTCTGTCCGAGGACCTTCTGCATTGGGTTCTTCCGAAGGGTTACTTGGGACATTATCTGCATCTATAAATGTTAACTTGCTCTCTAAGTCATCTGTCTTGTGCATGTCCTTATACATCACCTTCTCGTTGAATATCACATCTCTGCTGCGGATCACTTTCTTGTTTTTGTTATCCCAAATACGGTAGCTGAACTCATCTTCACCATACCCGATGGATGTGCATTTCTTGGACTTGGGATCAAGTTTATTCCTGCCTTGATCACTACTATGCACATAAGTTATACAACCGAAAAGTTTGAGATGTGAGAGGCTTACCTCTTTTCCGCACCATACCTCCTCTGGTATTCTTTGCTCTAATAGAACCGATGAACCTCGGTTGATCAAGTAAGCTGCTATGTTGATCGCTTCTGCCCAGAACTACTTCGGTAGGCCTAACTGTACCCGAATGCTTCTGGATCTCTCTGTCAATGTTTGGTTCAACCGTTTAGCTACACTATTTTGCTGAGGCGTGTCGGGCATGGTTCTCTCCATTCTGATCCCGTGCTCATAGCAGAACTTCTCTGAGAGTGATCATCGATAAAATTCATGAAGTAGTGTTTTCCACCAATGGACGCAGTGGTGGTTGGTCCCCAAACATCTGAGTGAACGAGCTCTAGCTTCTGCTTCCTGGGGGTTCTGCCACTTGTCTGAAAGCTGACTCTCTTCTGCTTTCCAAGTATACATTCTTCACACATATCCATCTCCACTGACTGCAGTCCTGGGAGTTTTCCCTTTGTGTGCATGATCTTCATCCCCTTCTCACTCATATGACCGAGTCTCTGGTGCCACAACTTTAAAGTCTTATTGCCTACTGCAACTGAGATCAAACAACGTGCACCTGCTGTCATATACAGGGTATCATTCTTCTTGTCTCGGACAATCGTTATTGTGCCCTTTGAGATCTTCCAATCCTCTCCATAGAAGGTTATAGTGTATCCTTCGCCAGCCAACTATCCTACGAATATTAAGTTCTTTCTCAGGTCGGGAATATGTCTGACATCCTTCAGCTCAAATACTAACCCGTTCAACTTAATTTTTACCATACCTTTGCCCACAATAGCACACAGTTGATCATCACCAAGGTATACGTATCCAAGATTTTTGGGAACATACTTCTCGAAGAATTCTTTCTGAGAAGTGGCATGAAACGACGTTCCAGAACCTAATACCCATGATTCTTCCTTGCTCTCCAAAGAGCATATCAACGCGTCATCTCCTCCTGAGGTGGAAGTGACATTCACCTCTGCCTTCGCCTCCTTCTCCTTATGTGCACTCTTGCACTGATTCTTATAGTGCCCGGTCTTTCCATAATTCCAACACTCGATAACCTTCGAGCTGTTGCTTGGATTCCTCGACTTGGACCTCATGTCCTTTGATCTACCTCTGTAGTTTGATTTGTCTCGTCTGTTCCCTCTGGTTGAATTTCTACCTCTTGACTCTGTATGCAATACTGAAGAGGTTGTAGCTTCACATGACTCTCTCCATCGGATCTCCTCACTGAGAACCAAATCACGAACGTTATCGAACTTTAACTTGTTGCTTCCCGACGAGCTACTCACGGTTGTGACTGTAGCATTCTAACTCTCTGATAGGGAAGACAAAAGTATCAACGCCCGAACTTCCTCATCAAACTCAATTTCAACTGAAAACAATTGGGTTATGATCGTGTTGAGTTTATTGAGATGTTGTGCTACTGACGCGCCTTTCGCCATTCTCAGATTGAATAACCGCTGCATCAAATAAACTTTATTTGCGGCTAATGGCTTC